TTTAAATTATACAAATACATATACGATAGGAATATGAATTTATACAATGATATACTCTATATAGAGTGTTCTGTTTAGATGGCCCGGCTGAATTTCTCTTGAACCATTTCCGTTATCAAAAAAACAAAAATAGGTGTTTAATATGTCTTAATCCAGTTTCAAATTTTTACTTTTTTTGGAGAAAAATTATGCAGGGTACCTCAGACCTAGTTTAACTTCAAAATTTCAATACGATATACATCATGACATATTTAAAAGGAAAAAGCTGAAAACAATGGTGCCATTGGATTTTAAATTGGCTAAAAATGACAATGTTATGGCAAAAACTGTCATTTGGTTTTCTATTTATTAATCACACTTCATGTTCGAACTGCCTACCTTGCGTAAAGATACAAAGATTTGCTCTTTTTAACCACTCTTTACTGGTGCTTATAGCGTTAGAGTCAGGGGAGATGAATTAACAAGCATTTTCTTCTCTTTGCCTCAGTTCTGCAACTGTGGGTGCTGGGTTGGCGTAGACACCGTTTTTTTAAACGACCCTCACAGAAAATAGTTAAATTGGGTGACCGAGGAGGCCGACAGATCGGGTCCTATCCACCTATCCCGGAAGTGACGATTCAAATAACGTCTCACCTGCAAAGAATTGTGTGCGGGGCATCCATCAAGCTGGAAAATCAATCTTTGCCGTGGTTACAGAGGAACATCCGTTGGTAAAACATCCTTAAAAAATTGAGAAACTGAGCACCATTTAAATTATTTTCGGAGAAATAATGGTCAATTGATTTGTTTCCGAGAAGGCCACACGTTGATACGTTGATGATGACAAGTAGAATCCTCTGCCCACATTCGGAAATTCTAACGTTTATAGTATGCCATTACAGGTGAACTTGGATTCATCAGTCCATAGGATGTATGGAAGCACGTTTTCTTCAGCCTCCCACATCGACATTTGTGCAAGGAACCTTAGACGCCTTTCATAATCAAAGTCCCGAAGTTCCTGGACAAAATGAGGGCGATACGGCCAAAAATTGTAAGCCCAGAGTACAATTCTAATTTCACTAGTTTTATTTTTTGAAAATCGTAAAGCCCTTCCAACATTTCGGAGAAAGGAATTTGTATTTTGCGCGAACATGCGGCAAAATATTCAGCTCCTCGTCGAAATTACTGCCGGTTTCTTTTTTCCAAAACTTTTGTCATTTTCTCTAGTCATAAACCAATTTAAAATCCCATTACACCGTTGTTTTCAGTGTAAAAAATCCATTAAAATGATGTGTCAGGATGTATAGGGTCGTTTTTGAAATTTTGAAGTTTAACTCGACCTGACGAGTCCTGTATAATTTTTCGCCAAAAAAGGTAAAAATTTGAAACTAGACCAAAAAATATTAAATAAGTATTTTTTTGTTTTTTTGATAGCGTTATTAGTTCAAAAGATAACGGCTTCTCAAAATTCAGAAAAATGTTAAAGGGGTCAATAAATTAATCAATTAAAATTCAAACAAAAAATTATATTCAGGCTCTACACAGGTGCTTAACTAAATCTCATTTTAGTCTCACGGAAAAAAATTTATGACCGAATTTACATGAATGAATATTTTGTTTTTAGAAATATTTTCGTTATTCGTAAACTTTAAACTCTAAAATGAAGTACACAAGTAGTTGATTTGTGCGAAGAGAACGGCGAAATAAAAATAATTTCAAAATTTCAACTTTCAAAAAAAAATTTAGCGAAACCAGGGCCTATTCACAAGAATTGATTTGATTGCTGCAAGGTCAAAATAATCCCTTTTTTTATTTAAGGCGTTTAAAAAAAAGCTACACTATAGGAAAACTTTTATAGATCTTTATAATCAGTAAATATTCAATACAATCGATAGAGAAAAAAAAACAAAAAAATCAATAGAGACCAATAAATATTTTAAACAAAATATCGATAGTTATCAAGGTCTTTGGAAAATAAGCGGTTGCTCCATTTAAAAAATTAAAGAGCCAACAGAAAAAAGGGACAATATTCAAGTTCAAACAAATTATCCTGGAAATGCCAACTGTAAAAAAGTAACAACAAAAGAAACAACTGTCAATATTTCTTGAGCTTCAAGCTGAAAGTTGTCTCAAACAAGAGAACCAATTATGATTATATACAAGTTTGCATAGGAAACTGGAGACGAGGCCTTACAGAAGAAATACTGTTTCGCGTTAGAATTTTATTTGTTCATCTTTTATTACTATTTTTTATGCTGTAAAATGTTATAAATTAAATTTAAGATTTAATTTATAACACTATTTCATTTCAACTATTTCATTCGTTTAATTATTGCTCCAATTTTACAAGTCGATATTCAATGCTTCTTTACCTGAGGATAAGGCGATATTCTCAGCGTATTAAAGCCGATTTTCGCTTCATCGCAAGATCAATGCTGAGTTTTCAATCAATTAAACATATCAGTGTCGCCTTCATGTTCACTTCACTTCGAGGATGTTCAGAATGGATCAAAAGATCGAAAGCAAGAAAAGAACCAGGATATGACATGATTAACCGACTACTGCTAAATGATTCCCCATGGAAGACAGCGTTCCTGGCGAAAATCTTCAATGTCATGACGAGGCCGAGCTATTTCCCAGTAAAAAAATAACTGGCTGTCATGTAGATGGAGATGTATTGGGGGTGTAATATATGAGCAATTGTATACCACGTTCTGTGCCCATAGGAGTGAGTCCTATTTCATCAAGGGACTTGATTAGTATGCACGGTTTCAGTGGTTGAATTTCTTCTACAGTCCCATTGTACATCCCAAAACACTTCCTCCTGGGGCAAGTATAGCACCACAGTTTAAAATGGCTGTCATCATGATAACAAAAACCACAAAAGCTAAAAAGTGATCCAGAAAGTTATTCAATGTCCAATCAAACTTCTGTCACTTTTAGCCAAAATCTTTTTTTTTTGCATTTTCTTGCATCTTTCCTGAATCTCACGATCGCTAAATAATCATTGGCTAACGGTCACTAAACACCACACATTGAACATAATAGCTGAAATAGAAGAGCTTGAGAGAAGGTTAGACCAAACCGAGCTGATTGCAAATTTCGGCGAAATAAACCTTTTTTTTAAGTGAGATATTAGAGTTAGCGAGTGAAGAGCACCCATAGATATTTATTTCCACTCACAACGTAAATTTTTTCGTCTGCGCCAATGAAAATAGACACAGGGATAAAAGTGTCGGCCACAAGGCCTTCTCCATCTCCACTTGAGTGCCTATTGTGCTCCTCTTTTTTTTTTTATAACTCACTGGCCAGCTTCAGGTTGTTAATCAACGTCCATAGCCTTGCAAGGGCTCCTTGGAGTAGAATCTTGCTTGCGGCTTTTCCACTCCTAGTTGCAAGGATCTGCAACAGGTGTTCTGCGGTTTCCTCTTCTTCCTGGCAGTATCTACACAGTGTTTCTTTTCTCTGTACTCCTGTTCGGTGCATGTGCCTTCTCAGGCGGCAGTGCCCTGTCAGGAATCCAGCCAAACATCAAAACAAATACACAATTTAGTTTCAAAACGAAAACCTGTCAACAACAGCTCCACAGAGTGGTCGACAATATCCAGAATACATTCGAGGATATATCGGTTTGCCTGAACGGGACTAAAGCCTTCCAAAATTAGCCTAATCTGCAAATCAAAAGAGGCTTTAAATAATGACTTGCTCTATATTGTTCAATTTAACAAACTAATTAGATTTCTTAGAGTAGACAATTACCAGAACCCAAAGAGATAAACGCCGGTGTTTCTCAAGGGAGTGTCCTTGGACCTCTAATGTTTCTTATTTATGCCTTAGACTTTCCAATATCTTAAGTAGACACTTATATAATTATCTGATTTTCCGATGACTGGCAAACACAAGAAATATAGAACTCCACGATGTTAAGACCTGCTGTAATAAATAACTGGAGATTGATTGTGAAACCGTCAAAATCGAAAGTCATTAGATTCACTTTTTAAAGAAACGCAGACTTAACACTGTTACTCATGTTACTATACCATTTGTAAATTGCTAAAGGCTGCAGTTGACTCCAAACTGATGTGAAACGATCGGGCCTCCTCGAGATACTAGTTAATCAGCTAAAAGTCTGTTGAAGTAAAAGACTTCCCTAAATATTCAAATCAAACGCATGGACTACCAATCAGTAAGTTAAAATGAGCGCACATCAGCGGGATATGGGCTTCGGCATCCAAAACAAGTCAACAGAATTCTGATGTTCCAAAACTGATGATGATGGATCGTCTCTGGATTCAAGACTAGACTCCTCTGTAACAGCATCTAGAAATCACGATTCACAATGACGACGACGTGAGAGTAGCAACCCTAAATCACCCCCACGCGATAGAAGGCCGAAAAGGCTGAATCACCACGACATAACCGGTGCACTGAACCAAACTGACTAGTATGGTCAAAAAGTAGAAAAGGAACTGCAAACACTTGCCAAGCTTTCGGCCATTACAAGGCCATCCTCTGGAGAAAATTGGACTTTATAAAAGTTACATTTGTCAACTTAGTGTAGTAGGGTTTTTATAATTGAAAACTGTTCCAAACATGGATTTTTGCGTTTACAGCAATGGCTTTAAATCTCGGATAAAAAATATGCAAAATAATAAAGCTCCACAGTCTTTTTGGTAGGCCCAGTTGTTAGTAGACCTGCTGACAACCACGCTAAGGCAACAAATGTAACTCACTTTTAAAGTGCAATACTGCCCTGAGGATGGCCTTATAAAGGCAAGTTATTGCAGTTTTTTCTTCTTTTTTGACCATACACCAAATTTACATCTTACGCTAGGTACTGGTCGATAATCGACATAGGATCAAACCGACTAGGTTTGCAATGCTCGAGTAATTACCCTGTTTGTTACCTAATTACCTGTGGACTTCAATTAGCATATATTTTCCTGTGATTTTTTTTTTATTACAAGTATTTTCCTCACTAGACCATTAGACGCTGGCAGACTAGGGTGTGATCGGCATACCTTGAACTCGTCCGTCCTGCCCACAGATATTAACACGTACACGTCGTTTTCATTAATTTTATTGCTCCTTTCCTGATTTTCGAGTCTGACAATGAGCATGGACAGCCACCACCGAGACGTTCCAGTTCGGAATTTCCAATTCATATGTGCTTAGCCGCTTACTCTAGGACAAAACCATGGATACGGAACTGCTATAGCTGATAGTATATTTTGAAATAATCCAATAAAAACAGACGAGAAACGTAAGTTATTGGTAACAACATCAACCTACGTTCCATAATGCCTAACTAACCCGAATGTTTAAGAAATTTCAGAATGACATAAATACGAATTTATTGATTATTTTATTATACCAGAGACAGAATTCAGGATCGGTCGCGTTGATCGATTTACATTTCAGTCGTACAAAAATTCTATCATCGATTTCTGCTAAAGAAATAACATTGCATCACCATCCTGCCAACTAACGTCAGAATTACATCATTAAATTTTTTCTCTCTTTAAGTTAGAAGTACTCTTATTACCTTTAAATGCACTTGGGCCTTGACAATCCCTGATCATACTGGTCGTGATAGATTTCGCATAGATTTTAAATTTTACATATTGAGAAGGAAATAATATTCCTCTAGACAGGGTGTATCAACTTCTATAGTCAACCCATTTAATTCAGAAACGATTAACTTGATCAAAAAATGTTGTTATACAGTCCCCAAGTTAACCAAAGTTAAGCTAAGAATTGTGTGGGAGTAATAAATTTAACATAACTTTCTCATCTAGATGAGACACTAGATTTGTGTGTCTAGATTGACACTAACTTTCTTATTTTTAAAAAGAATCTCATATTTTTATTATAAAATTCGATTCTAGAGCTTATTTTAGGCCACTTTTACTGAAGTGAAAATTTTGATAAGATTTTGGTAACAACAAACTGGCCCTCCTCGTTTATTTCGAAAACGATTAACTTTAGCAAAAAATAGTCTTATTCAAACACCACGTTAATTTCGGATAGGAATCGCGTGGTGGTAACAAACAGATTTAACATAACTTTCTCGTCTAGCTGGCATTCATCTGACTGTCATTTCCCAGCTAGATGAGAAAGTTAAATCTGTTACCACCACGCTATTCCTACCCAAAATTAACTTTGTGTTTGTATAAATCCATTTTTACAAAGAGAATTAAATAAATTAAATTAAAGAAAAATTAAAGAAATTTTTGTAGAATCAATCATTTCTAAGTTATGCCCGGAAGACGCGTGAGAGGGGTATGCTTTTTAAAACAACAAGATGGCTTTCCCCGTTTATTTTCAAAACGATTAGTATTAGCAAGTTAATTTAGGAAAGGAATCGAATTGTAAGGAAGCTAAAATAAGCTCTATAATCGAATTGTACAATAAAAATATGGGATTCTTATTTAAAATAACAAAGTTTGTATCATTTCCCAGCTAGATCAGAACGTTACGTTAAATCTGTTACAACCATGCCATTCCTAGCCAAAGTTAACTTGGGGTTTGCATCAAACCATTTTTTGCTAAAGTTAATCGTTTCCAAATTAAATGGGTGGCTGTAGAAATTGATACACCGTGTATATCACCAAAAGTTATATTTTTTTAAGTTAGTTTTTAATTAGTCTACTTTAATACCTGCTTTGCTTGTTTGTCCCATGACACATCAACCTAATGTTGGCGACATGCCGAAACGTGTCTGACAGACAAAACTAGCCAGACAAGACGGATCAAGATGATGGAAACGATCTACCTGCTTGTCCATCACTTCTCAGTCCTCAACCGAATATCTCACAATTTAAAATTTTATAATCATTCACTTACAACGGCCTGATCTTCTTTAAAGTTTGTAAACAAAGTTCATATCCATTACTTTTTCGTTTAAAACGAACGATTCGATATTTCTTTAATACGAATAAAATCCTGTTTTTTTTTTTTTCTCTAAAACAAAAGCGTGAGAAGAGCAACAAAGCAAAGCAAAATTTTTCAGCAAACTTTTGTTTAAAATAAAGTTTTGCTATAGATTTTAAATTAAAAAAAGGAACTTAAACAGTGAACGAATGAACACAATATGAGTTTGTTTTATGTTCCTTTTTATTTTTTTTCTAAAAACCTAATTATTTTTCTGGGCAAAAAATCTGGTGAAAGAATACGATCGCAGAAGATAAAACAATTATTAAATCGAGGAAAAGATTATTGATGTTTCGTGAATATTAAAACTTACGTATGCCGAGGGTGAGAGCGGTTCTAAGATGGAGTGGCCGACTTGGAATGGTCCGAGGTCGTAATGACAGTCGAACCGCCCCCAGTGGGGTGGGTCCGCCTCCTGTTCTAAAGCCCACCCTCATCCCATAACTCGTTCTTCACCCCTCTGGAGCACATCTGCATATTTAGCTGGCAGAGGTTGAGTTTTAATTCTTTAGCATAAGAGAACCAAAATCTAAACATTAAATTATATCCAGCTTTGATAGTTCTTGTTTATAGAGGTTGACGAACAGTTGCTACATGTGAGTTGAGTTTTGATGTGAAAGATTAATAAGTGAAATAAATGTTCTTTAATAACGATTGGGTTTTTATTGGTTTGGTATCTAAAACTAAGGAAATATCAAAATTCACAAAAAACATTGAAGAAATATGTATTTTTACCAGTTTTTCGAGTTTGACCTACCGATTGAGGCGCGAGTTACGAGTTAGCGAATTAAGCCTTCTGTCTACGCCAATGTAAACAATATTTTATTAATATTTAAGTTTATACAATTTTCTTTCTTTCATACACGTTAAAAACGAAAATTTGTAAATCTCAGAACAGGCTAGAGGGAGTAAGTTTCCAGCAAGTCGTCCTAAAAACAAGGCCAGTTGCTCCCTGGTTTCCATCCTGTACGTACGGTCAAAATATCTATCATCACCTATTATTTTCTAAATTTTGTATTTTTTCAAACAAATATTTCCAGTGTGCGAACCATGAATTATTAGTCATTTTACCGCCAAAGATGTTATTTTTGAGAATCTAGTATCAGGAAACATCAGAACTTTCAGAATATAGGAGTAGTGAAGCTTAAATGTACACACCAAAATTAAATCCGTGAAGATCTCTAAATATAATGTATAGTTTGGTGTACCAGTTGGCAATGTGAATAACTTTCTTACAAAAAAAGTTGCACTTTTTCTATTGTTTCGAACCTCTGGTATCCCCACATTTGACAGCCATAACACAGAATTGCACGACTTATCGCCTTAAAAATATTAAACTTAACATTTATAAGGATAGTTTCTTTGAATAAGAAGGCTGACCATTTGTTATTTAGACCTAATTTAGCCACTGACGCTTTCCAAGAGAAGTGCTTTGTCCAAGAGAGTCTCGGGGTAAATATGACTCCTAAATATTTGTATTCATTTTCAATCTCGATGAGATTGCCCCTGAAAAAAAAGCGATCCAGAGAACTCAACCCACCCCCTCTCGTAAACACTACGATTTTGGACTTCTCTAAATTAACTGTGAGGTTCCGCTGTGCACAGTAATATTCAAATAGTTTGATATTTCTTTTTAAACCAGTTATCCGATAGGATAACTATATCGTCAGCATACATTAATATTTTAATTGTCGTATTACCTATACGAATTCCACATTTCAGGACATTTGGGAGGTCATGTAAAAAGAGAGCGAATAAGATTGGGCTTAGCATTTTGATACTATATTATCGGTTTTATGTGCAGTAGTTTGTAGCGTTTAATTTTTAATTCACTACTTTCGTGGATTCACTACCACGAAACTAGTGAATTGAATAAGTTTAAAATGAAGTATCACTTCACTAAAGCTCTCTGTGGCCATTTCATTTGTCTTCGAGAATCAAATTGATTACACGACACTTGAAAAATGGCAAAAAGAAGAGAAAATTCAAAAGGTGTGGCTGAGGTGGGAAGTTGATGTCCGAGTGGATCGAGGTCACGATAGCTCAAGTGGTGGAGCAGCGGCGTATCAAGTCGAAGATCGTGGGTTCGAATCCCGCTCGTGCCATTGACTTTTTTATCTCAGCTGAAAACCTTAATTAATTTTTAATTTTTTTTAAATACTATTTCTAGCATATGTTTATTGGCTTTCAACAACAACAAAAAAAAATTGAATTGTAGTGGTTTCAATCAGATATTCCGATGATGACTTCTTAAAAATCGGAAAAAAATAGAGGGAAAAATCTATAAATTTAAACTAAACAAATTATATTGAGGGGTTCCTACAAGTGCTAAAACAAATTCTCATATTAGTTTTAGGAAAAAAATCATGATTTATTTTAGTTGTAAATTTTGATAGCTTTTACTATAATTTTATTGCAATCTTCATAAAAAATACTGTAAAATTTTATATATATATAAAATATATTTTATATATTTGATTTGACAAAGTAGAAAGTCGAAATAAAAATATTAAAAAATTATAACAGTGACACTGTCATTGCTAGTGATTTGTGCTACAAACTAAATGAAAAAAATATAGTTACATAATTATATTTTTTATTTATTATTTTATTTATTAAAAAAATTATGATTCGTAAGAGAAGCTTTCCAAATTATTGGTTCTGTTTCGTACACATCGAGGAACTCCAAAACTGTTGAGTTGGACCAATCCATTCCCAATAATAATAATAATAATGTTATTGTGTAAATTAATACATCTATACTACTTTGGAATCATGTTAATGAAAAATAAATAACATAAAATAGAAGTGTACATTTACTGTTGATTTTGATTGAACATGTGTTGTTGCTTTGAGTGCGGTTACTTCACGAATATTCGTGCACTTTGAAGAGGACAAGAAAAATGATAATAAGTCGAGTACGGCGATCAGCGAATATTGTTGTTCGGCGAATAACCGAGCATCCATCCACACTAGTCGGGATTCGGCGAAACTTTGCTCGGTATTTGGCGGATCCCGCATGTCCGGAGCCGCCTTTAGATTAAAGATACAAAGAAAAACGGCGCTTTACGATGTTAAACCCGCACGACCGATCCGTCATGCAATTTTTAACCTATTCAGGCGCCTTGTTAAAACAGTAATTTGTACTTTCTGATTTCTTTCATTCGACCAAATTCGTGCTTCGCACTCACATATTTTCTCACTTTCACGGATAAACATTAAATCATGTATATGTATTTTGAGAGTGAATCCGTACAAATCCATCCAGATAAAGAGATTATATACCAGTTGTCCTTTCCTTTTTATTGGGACCAGCCCCGTTTGGTGTAAACAAATTAAGGAGGTAGTGCTGTGGAATATTGCCATACTCCTCCAACATTGCCTTTCTTAATTCTTACAAATTCTCTGGCAACACTGGGCGATATTTTACCCTCTTTGACACAAGTTTTCGATACGGTTTAAGTCAATTTACATGCCGGCTACACCAAACATTGAATTGAAGCCCAACACAACTTCTGATAACACGTATTAAATACATCGCGTAGGTGTTAGGGAACCCACGATGAAGATCAAGTTTGTGCGACCTCCCATAGAAATGCCAGCCCAAACCGTAATACCACCACCTCCATAACGAGCTAATGGACCGATTTCCATGGTTGATAATTCGTTGTAAATAAATTGTCATATGCATTATATGTATAACTCTTTCAAATATTAAAATCAAACTATTATTTTTATTTAAAAAACGAGGTAAATTTCTGTCAAATGATTTTGCTATTTTGCATATTTTCTTTTATGAATCTTTTATATATTTTTGAGTTATATACGTTGTTATATTAATTTTGTTGGTATAACAGAATTCAATAGCAATATTAAATGGGTTTTTCTTACAAAAGGTGGTTCTAGATCTTTGTAAGCTGATGGAGGAATCAAGCTTGGTTCTAGTGGAAAAGTTGTGAGCGATTGTTAGTTTATTATTCCAATCTTTATAAAAGTAGAAAAAAACATTTTTTTTAATTATTGTATTAATTGTTGTAAGTAATTGTCTTTTAGTAGATAAATTTGCATTACCCCATGCTACCACACATAAGGGAAAATCAACTGCACAAGTGCTAGATAAACTCATTGTTCTGTGGCAAGGTTCATTGATAATAACAGAAAGTATTGTGCCCCGTGTACTAATACTTAAACTAATTAAGCACTTAGTAAAGCCATCTTCTATATTGTTAAAAGATGTATGGTGTTTAACTACATATCCAGCAGTATTTGCAATTGTATGTACAAATGGCTCTGCACTGCTTATGAAGCTGATGCAAGTGGTTGAAATTGAGTTGTTAGCCATTGGATATTTTGATAAAATACAATATCTGCTGTTTTTTCTATTACCCAAAATATTACATTTGCATTGTATATCAAATAGAGTGCAGTCTTATTCGATTCAACTGTTTGTATGGTATTCATGTAATCAGCATGACTTGAAAACCCTGCTTCTAATGTTTTGCGGTAATTTGCTATTAAAAAAAAGGGTGCAATTTTATTCATACTTTATATAAGTGATTCAAATGACAAAATTCAACGTGATGCAAGTATTTTTGCAGATAAGATATTTGCAGATCCGTTGACCCATACTAGAATTTGCATTAAATTTGTAGAAAAAGTGCAAAGATGTTTTACCAAAATCTCAAAATTTAAAGCCATACAGCTACATCGATCAACTTAAATTCCTAAATTCAACGTGATGCAAGTACTTTTGCAGATAAGATATTTGCAGATCCATTGACCTATACTAGAATTTGCATTAAATTCGTAGAAAAAGTGCAAAGATGTTTTACCAAAATCTTAAAAATTAAAGCCGTACAGCTACATTGATCAACTTAAATTCCTAAATTCAACAACCCTTCAAGATTGTAGAGAAAGAAAAGATCTCACCGAAACCTATAAAATCTTACAAATAAATATGCCCCTTCTCCTCAACTTTTCTTACTACATACTTCCTCACAAACTCCTGGCCGTAGCATAAAACTTCAAAAACCATGCTCCCAGAAATTAGTTGGACCAACATTCCCCTCAAACTTCATCCTAAAAAATTGGAATAACCTGTCTTCAAATAACATCAACTCAAGATCAACTTTAATTTGAATTTTATTGTGAAATTTGGTAATCATACCTAAGTCATTAATATTTACGTATTTAGATTTTATTTGTAAATTTTATAAAGTTGTATTGTTTATTTCTCAATATGTTGAGGGTTTATCATATTTACGCCATTTACTCATGTAACAATAAATAAACATTCAATCCCCTGTTCCATTTCTTAAGAAAATGGGATGTTTCCTCACATATAAATATTGTATATACTTTCAATATGTGTTATGTGTGTATATTTATTTGAAAATAATTTATATATATTATATGATGTTTATACTATTTGTAGTAAATTTGTAAGTAAAATTATTATGAATGTGTAATTAGTGTACAACATAAGGTTGATGGTGGAATATCATGTACCGCATCGGTCATGACAGTGAAGGGGGCTGAAATGACTTCACTGTTGGTAGCTCCTATTAAAAAATAATAATAGTCGGCATTTCTGGAAATGAAAAAGCTGATCAACAGGCAAGGAATGCTGCAAACCATCCACAAAGAACAGATCAATTTCCTCTCGGCCCAGATGATATAGTCGTTTATGTTAAAAACATTATCAGACGAAAGTGGGTGGCAAGATGGAATGTCTGTAGAGATAGTATGAAAGAAATTAAGCCAGTTGTACATAAATGGCCAACTGAGGGATTTGAGAGAAAAGAACTTGTGATTCTCTCTAGACTGCAAATAGGTCACATCAGGATAATCCATAATAATAAAAAGTATTGTTCTCTTTCACTTAGTGTGACTTCAGGGTATTCAGATTTGAAATTTTTGTAGGAAGTTTTTTTTAAGGGGCTAAAACCACAAGAATCATTTCCACCTTTACAACTTTCAACTTTGCTTCCAAACTAGTCACAGGTGAACCTGGCAACCTGAGAAGACAGAAGGCGATAGAAGAAGCTTTAGATTTCTTATTCATATTTATTCTCACGGACTTTGAAAGGGTCACCCAAACCCCTTCTGCCAGGGTTTCATAAAACAAAGAAACCAATGATCACCTGTCCTCCAGAGCAGGGGTCAATCAACCTAGAGGGGTCCTAAATTTTCCCCTAATTACCAACTTCTAGTTGATACTCAAGATGGCAGCTGTTCATGTTTTATTGATTAGATTGGCAGCTGCCAGAAATAAGAATAATTTTGCTATATTCTCCGATATTTAATTTAGTAATTTAGTGTACAATGATTATTCAGAAATCGTGAGATGCGGTCTGGTGTGATGTAGGTTTCAGAAAAACATTTTCTTTATCGTGCCAATGTTTCAATTTTTATTGAGATCATCTTCACGGCCTGGGATTTACATTGTTTAAATTTAACAAATACATGAAGGATGTGGAAAAAGTGAATTAATACAATGCAAAAAATATATTTTTTATATTCAATCAAAGTATTTCTACTAGCTCAAAGTGTCTGTTTTCTGCATAAGTGTGCCATTCTTGCATGTCATGTTGAGAGTGCCAGTGAGATATTGCTGTTTTAATTAGTGTACAATTGTTCTTAGATTACTTTCTGCATGACACTACAACAAAATATGTCTTATAATTATTATACTGTTTCACACCCCACATATCGATGGGGGGTCACATTAGGTGAACCTTGGTGATTCTACAATGCCCAATTCTCAACCTACTTAAGACAACCTCTTCACTTCTGCTTGACCTAAACGACGAGGAACATGACTTTGATCTTTAATTACCCGCAGTTTATTGTCTTTGGCTGAGTATCATTCTTTCTGCCATTGTAGATATATATATATATATATATTTTTTTTTTGAAGATTGCAATCAAGTCATCTCTGCTGACTTTTAATAAAGTGTCCTATTCTAAGTCTTTCTCTAGTAGCTGCATTAGCTCTCTCCTTGCCGGGAATATTTGAATGACTTATAGGAAGTTTAAATCGCTAGTATCAAGAGAGAGCTGCTGTAGTATTGTCATTTTATTACCACATATATTTAGAACTTAAAAGTACAATTTATGATAAAAGCTTTAAGAAAGAAAAAAAACAATGAGCAGTAATTTAAAAAAATGTAATGATTTAATTTTTTTAAAATGGATACAAACCACGTGCATGAAAGCGTTTATAGAGAGGTGCACGCTGATGTTATAATGAAAAGTTATAACAGCGCAAAAGGTATATTTTGAGGAAACCTAGTAAAGCAAATAAAATTGATATAGAGAATAGTCAAAATGCTTCTCAACTACATCATTTTTTCGCTGTGTTCTTTTTCTATCTTATGATTTATCCACTGATACTTGGGTATAACAATTAAGTTGCTGACTCTTAACCCACAGTTCTAATGGATATTCTGAACGTTTGTGATGTAAAGCAGTTCAACAAATCCACCTAAGAAAATGGTATTAAATAAAACAATAAGGACATTGTGTATTTTAAATTATTTTTATATGATAATCGTTTTAAAAAAGTTAACTATGGGTCAAATCTGACAGCACATATTTAAGCTTTTCTAATATTAGCCATAGTTTTAATAACATGCTAACAAGGACTGAAAATCCTTCAATTCATTTCAATTGTTTAAAAAAAATTGAAATAACGTGAGTAATGACTTGCTGTATGTTGGTTTGCAAGTCGGTCAACTCGTGCTGAACCGACATTGGGTCACTTACCACTGCACTCGCAGGTTTGTTGAACTCAAAAGAGTTTCATCATTAAGCCGCCTTCAGTAACTCGTTCATGGAGAATTTCTGAAGATGGACCCAATAAGTAACCGGTTCAGCATAACATGAGTAATATTTATTCTTTATTGTAGGTTGTAGGTTGAGATGGGGAGTTGGTGTCCGAGTCATGATAGCTCAAGTGGTAGAGCAGTGGCGTATTGAGCTGAAGGTCGTGCATTCGAATCCCGCTCGTGACATTAGCTTTTTCATTTCAACTGAGACCTAACATAAAAAGATTAATTGAAAGAAATAATTTGGTCAATCAGACCATTAAATATAATGGATTTATTCTTTATACTAACTATAAATTTATTGTTCATTTTAAACTTTACTTGTAATTTTCAGATCTTATAAACTGAAAATGGCAGTTTTAATTTTGTAAACTAATACTTGGCTTATAAAAGGAATTTAAAATGTTAACGCACTTACATCGTTATTCACACATTGCAAGAAATGTAAGTAAGTTGTTATCAAGAGAAAGACGAACTTTCTACAATGTTTTAATTTCAGTTTTCGACAACAGTCCGAGTTTTTGTTAAATTGGAGGCTGAAATTTATGAACAGATTGAGAAAAATGAATTGAAACCTAGAAAGCACCCAGGTATTTTGAAACGGCCTGTTTTCAGCTTACCTCAAGATGTGATGAAAGCCATTGACATTGTTATAGGAGGTAATTGAGTTCTTTCTCAAACAAAAATGAATAAATGTATAATTTATTCTAGTATGTAACATGGAATATTTGTTTCTGTGCTAATTATTTTTTATGAAAGTTTTATTAATTTAAAGAGCATCTTTTAAATTTATGTTGGTTACAAAAGCTAGTTTTCCTTATAATATATTTTTTCTTCCCAGAATGAAGGAATATTGGATACTTCATCGCCCTAAATGAGTGGAAAAATGTATTTATGAACGAGTGAGAGTATGAGTGCACTTGGGTTAAAAATTGCATCTGTTAGAAGCTGAAATGACTTGAAACCGTTGAACCCTTGAATAGCTGAAGGCAGGACTGACAAAATCTAGGTGCCTTTATTGCCAATAAAACCAGATTAGTTGATTTAGACCTAGGAAAAATATAATTCAGATTTCTTCTTGGATCACTTTTAAGAATTTGATCACTAATAGGTTGTGAGAGTGTCTGTGAATTTGTAATTTTCCTGTTAGCATTTCAGTCTGCCTATTCTCACTGATTTGGTCTTTCGTGTTTCAATAGTGATTCTCAATCTTCAGCTCAAGTCTGGCATTATTTGTACCATTACAGCTTTTTTGGGTGTTTTGACTTTCCAAAGTGCCAGAACTTCTGTAGTATGCTTCTTTTTGAATTGGCAAGCACTTGTCTAAGTTTTTCCAATTTTTTAAGTGATATTTCAGTTGGCAAGGTCGCTCTTAAACTTTTCAGATAGCTTTCGTGCTAGTATTTAGTCCAGCATGATTTACTTTACACATTGTTCAAACCTATTTTTAACATATTCGGTTCTACGCTTACTTGATGTTCTAATGTTGCCGGTGCTGCACCTTTCTCAAATTTTACTATTAAATTTTCAGTTAATTATACCTAAACTAGAACAGTTCTTCAATTTTCAACAAACCCTACAGTGATTTTAAAACGTATCATTTTTTAGATACACCGAGGCAAATGTTGATAAAGGAAGGGTATGAATTCTCTAGATTTTTATTCTCAAGAAAAGAACCTCCAGAGAAAGATGTCATTCTACAGAAAAGGCAAGAGTGTCATTCTGAAGTTGTTGATACAGGTTAGAATTTCAACAGTACTTACTGTGAGTAGGAACTATCTTTTTAAAAAGGATTGAACACCGCACTCACTCCATCATTCATCATTTCTATTTCAACTGTCAGTCTGAAAATATTCTTACATTGTTTCATTGCAGTGGCAGTCAATTTAAATGATATGGATGCTGACGAGAAAAAATATTACTCGCAAGTAATAAAAACTAAAGTGGATATTCTCTTAAAACAAAGGTTGTACAATTGGCAGAAAATTGAATATGCAAGGCACAAAGGACTGGTTTATCTATTTTCAAGGGCCGCCCCAGAATTTGCAGTCCTGTCTCAAATATTTCATGAGATATCTTTGTGCCATGATTTCAAGCCTAAGACATTGTTCGATTTCGCTTCGGGTGTGGGAACAGTGATATGGTATGTAATATAATCTGACACAATCATTTTGAATGATTGAATTAAAATAATTTAAGGGCTGCTAATTCGATTTGGCCTAAAACGTTGAAGCATATTTACACCGTTGACTCTTCATCTGATATGAATGATCTGTCTTATGATATATGTGCACTTCTTAAAGATAAATCGTTGAAGGATAAAATTTTCCAAAGGCAGTTTCTCCCTGCATCTATGAAAGTAAGAAACTAGTTTTTTAAATATTAAAAAAAATTATCGCATTTTGCATTTTGTAAACAGGAAAATTATGATATAGTAACTTGTGCTTATACTCTTTTGGAACTTCCATCTTTGACAACTCGTCTTGAGACAATATTAAATCTATGGCAGAAAACTAAACATATTCTTGTACTTGTTGAACAAGGAACAAACTCTGGTTTTAAAGTAAGCTGTTTTTTTCTTCATTTCTTTTCCATGCTTTACCCTAAATACTTTTATGTATTTTGCTAGGTACTGAATGAAGCTAGAGATTTTATATTAGGACTTAATAAAGAGAATGAACAGTATTCTTCCCATATTTTGGCACCAGTAAGTAAAAAAATCCCGTACTAATTATTTGATTAATGTAAATTAATAATCTATTAAAAATTATCAGTGTCCGCATGATTTTCCATGTCCAAGTGCTAATAAAAATTCAGTTTGTCGTTTTGAAGCTAATTATATGAGTGTAAAGCTCTCTAGTCGTGCACAAGGCAAAGAATATTATTCTTACGTTGTATTTGCAAAGGGTAAGCTTTTAAAATTAATGTGTGGTATTTAGTGATTGTTAATTATTTAGAGATCGAGAAATGTTTTTCTAAACCTACATCACACCAGACTGCATCTCACGATCTCTGAATAATTTTTAACATTGAGTTATATATGAAGTTTTCTTTTTAGGAATGAGAGAGGTTAACGATAAGCAATGGCCAAGGATTATAAGCCCTGTTCTTGTCAGATCACGTCATGCGATCTGTCGTTTGTGTACTAAATTTGGCACTCGTCAAGAAGTAATCATCAGCAATGGGAAACATGGAAAGTACGTGCTAAATTTAATTTCACTAATTTCGTGGTCCACTTGACCAATTAAATCATTACAATTAATTAAGGTTTTTAGTTGAGATGAAAAAAAGTTAACGGCACAAGTGGGATTCGAACCCACGATCTTCGGCTAGATACGCCATTGCTCTACCACTTGAGCTATCGTGACCTCGATCCACTCGGACATCAACTTCCTATCTCAACCACACCTTATGAGTTTTCCCTCCTTTTTTTTTTTTTTTTTTTTTTTTTTTTAATGGCAAGAAGGAGGGAAAACTCATAAGGTGTGGTTGAGATAGGAAGTTGATGTCCGAGTGGATCGAGGTCACGATAGCTCAAGTGGTAGAGCAGCGGTGTATCTAGCCGAAGAAATCCCGCTCGTGCCATTAACTTTTTTTCATCTCAACTAAAAACCTTAATTAATGCTAAATTTAGTGTTCTTCTTCTTAAAATTAATATTGTTAAATGTTAAAATTTTCTGTTTGCAGAATCACCCATCATTGTGCACGCTCAAGTTCATGGGGAGATAGATTACCTATAGAATTAAAACCTGAGGAACCAAAAAGTGAAAGTTCTAGTTAGTTTTAAATTTTTCATCTAACTGTTTATAATATATTCTTTCAAAAATACTTTTAATTATTTAAATCCCCCTTAAAATTATGATACCACTAATCTTTGACACATCAATAGTTTAAATATAAAATGCTTGCATCATAGATTCAAATGTATGAACGATTCATTTAGCTGGGGTCTGTTTTTATCCTTCCACGGCATAGGTCAGCCCACCCTTTTCAGGCTTTCAGGTGTGAAGCTTTCAACATTTGCAAACAATCCATGATTTGATCAAACTAACATTATCCTATTTCTATTCTCTTTTTCTTCTACCTTTTATACTTTTCCTTTATTCCTATTTCTTACATTCATACTGTGTTGGTGGATGTCATACAAATTTTATTTATTAATTATTATTTGTTGCATTATATTTTGTAACCTATTTTTATTTATTTTATGTTTTAATATTCTCTGTAAAGAGTCCAAGTCTTATTTTGAATTTTTTTGATTAGAACTAAGAAAAAATAATACAGTTCTTATGTTTTATATTATATATTTTAGTATATATTTTTTGCCAGCTTATCTCTCCTTTTTCGATTTTTGTTCATTTTCTTTTCTCTTTTCATTATTTTCTTCTTTCTATGGGAGCTCATCCAAACAGGATAATTTCCGTATTGGTCCTTCATCGTTTGTGGGTTGTAGATTTTTATTTTTCCTCCGTCGCATTCCATTTCCGTGTTGTCTTCTGCCTGTTCAACACTAGTTGAAGGAGGTGAAATAACTGAAAAGAAGTCAAGTAATTAACTGAAAGGTGCTCTACTTCCGTCAGTACTCGTCAACTGATTTACCTGTAACACAATCTTGTAATTCCGTCATTTGAACATCGTTAGATGATTTTACGTTAAATGTTTCAACGATGGCCTTAAGTTTTTCAAGTTCTTTTTTTCCATAACGCTCTCTCTTGATGACTTTCATTTTTCGCTTCCATTTACTTCTCAAACTTTTAGCCATTTTTGTATTTGTACCTGTAAATGAAATTCAAAATGTATATCATTATTTGATCAAGATTTAATATAACTAACAAAAGCAAGATTATTTACTTGTTAGTACTAAAAATAATGAGATGGCAACAAATGATACAAGCTCATTAGCCAATAAAAATATAGGAGTAAAACCAACCAATTTATTCAATTATGGATGCAATTTAAATAATTAATTAAAAATTTATGTTAGTTTCAGTACTTCTTACACCTAACAGGATGTAACAAAATAATCCCTAACAAAAATATGTTTTATTTATGAAAAACACGGAGAACGGTTTGAAAAGGGAAAAGGCCATAGTGACAAGACTACGCATAGGTAGTACAAGAATAACGTATGGGCACCTTCTGGACACAAAGTGACTGCACAGGTGCCTGTTATGCAAGGATAGAATAACGGTCGAGCACCTTTTCAATTGTAGAAGGCTTGATGTACATAGCAATATTTTGGACCTGTATGTAGACTTGGGGCATGGTAGCGGGGCACAGATCGTGTTCCGGTACCTCGGGGGGATTTTTAAATGTATACAGTTTATGTGTGTCTGTGTTGACTTTATGTTAATTTATTGGAATGAATGTAATTTATTAGCATGAAGGAAGGGGGATTTAACCCCGCCCCGAAGAATATCGAGTACTCTGGGGGAGTTAATGTGACCAGACGTTTGTGGTGATGTATATATATACGTATTGTATGTTTTGATTCTATTCCATATTTGACAACCTGAGGTACAAACGAGAAGTAGCATTCTAGGATATCAAACAATCAGTGTATATATTTGAAATCAGAGAGTCAGTAACCAAATCGAGACGCTCAAATGGCTGCAAACAACATATGCGCAAAAAAAGAGGAAAAGAAGGAAAACATGCAGAGAGCCTGCGATGACCTCAGCTGTTTGTAGGCCCATAAACTCCCACTTTATTATTATTTATGAAGAACTATCTGTGCTGTATAACAATTAAAATGCTGTCTCTGAATGTTTTAACAAATTTATTTTATTTATTTATTTCAATTAATTATTCTTTTTAGGTAATGTCTTGGTTGACAAGAAAAAGTTATTGCCACGAGCGGGATTTGAACCTATGACCTTCAGATTAATACGCCGCTGCTGTCCACTTGGACACCAACGTCACTGAGAATTGAATCCTGATTACACGACATTTGAAAAATGGCAAAAAGAAGGAAAATTCAAAAGGTTATATGTTGAGATGGGGAGTTGGTGTCCGAGGATGGAAGTCGCGGTAGCTCAAGTGGTCTGAGAAGCGTATTATAGAGTAGTGGGTTCGAATCCCACTCATGATACTGACTTTTTCATCTCAACCAAGACCTTACATAAAAAGAATAGGTTTTAACAATATTCAAATTTGTAGATTTTTCCGTGAAAGACCTTCTCAGGAAGCCAGAGCTAATTTAGTCTTAAATACTCTTTGATACACCACTCAATAAAATGTGGGTTAATCCACACCAGGGTACCATCCACTATTACTAATAATACTACATCAAATCTATAAAATACAAACAAACCAGCATACATTTCCATGCCATTCATTTACATAAATTAAACACATTTCTCTCGTCCGATAACTTCAAAAGTAGCTTTCAAAAATTATAAAACAATTCAAACACTTTTTTCCAAAATTAAAGATTTCACACCAATAACAAATAAATCTGACGTAATCTACAAAATCAATTGTTTAAACTGTCCGGCAACTTACATCGGTCTTACATCCCAATATCTGGACAAGAGAGTAAAGCAACATATCTACGATTGCAAAAAACCCAAGCAAAATCCTACAGCACTCGCTACCCTCCATTTTGAACACAAACACAATTTCGACTTCAAAAATCCAAAAATATTACACACAGAACAAAACAAACATAAACGTAACTTTTTAGAAATGATTTACATCAACAGACACAGCATCAATTACAGAACAGATACATGTAAACTCAGTCGCAGCTACGCCAATATCATTAATTAAATTCAATATCGATAACATACATATTTCATCACAAAACACATAACATAAAAAATTCATCACATTCCACACATCAAACATTTTGACACAGTCTAATTTTCAACAATTTAGCTTTCCTTTTCTTATTTATCCCTGTCTATATAATCCTGAAATATATAATCTGACCAAACCGTTACCAACGTTTTTTCCCTTTATCGGATCTTTTCCTCAGAAACCTCAAAGAAGCTGACTTCTTATACAAAAATATCTTTCTATAACGACTTCCCCACCCAATACCACTTCAAAATCCAACGTACATAAACATAAAACAGCAATATCGCACTGGCACTCTCAACACGACACGCGAGAATGGCACAATTACACAGAAGACAAATACTTTGAGTGAGTAGAAATACCTTGATTGAATATAAAAAATATGTTTTCCATAGCATTAATTCACTTTTTTCCACATCCTACAAGTATTTGTTAAATTTAAACAATGATTGTAAATCCCAGGCCCTGAAGATGATCTCAATAAAGATCGAAACGTTGGCACGATAAAGAAAATGTTTTTCTGAAACCTACATCACACCAGACCAAACCTCACGATTTCTGAATAATCATCGACTAACGGTCACTAATCACCAAACATTAATATGTAGTTATTTTGTGATCAGCCTTCTCAAATGCTAAGGATCTGCCTTTAATTTTTGGCCTCATTCCCGATCCTTTTTCAATCAACGTTAAAAAGTGGGTTGTCTTATGAAACTGTATACACCTTTTCAAGTAAAAACCAAACAAACAAGTTCAAAATAATCGAAAATTTGATAATTTCTAATAAATAACGGGTAAAATCGTTGACAAAATATTCGTACCTTAAAAATAACGATATTCCTTACAAAATCAACTTAGATCCAGCTAAAATGTTGACAAAAGTTCAGAAAAGGACACGTGCCACGGTCGAACTGCTGAACATCAACAACTAGAAAGAAATAACCTCACACAACATTACACAACGGTACGACCAATTGACCAACATTGGCAAATTAGTAGTAATAAAGTTGAAATAGTATATAATTGCAATTGTGTACACTATATCTTTGTTCTTTTTTCTCTGTACACTTTTTTGAACAAAAAAATTCTTAGGGAATGAGATACAAGTATATATAATTTAAAATATCAGCTAAAAATTTTCTCAATGATAATTGAGATAGAAATATTTATTTCGGCTTTTTAACAGAATTAGTAGTTCTAGGAGTATTTTGTTATTACAGTTGGTTAAAATAAAATTTAAGGACCAATTTTACAAGATACTGAAATTGGCCACATTGACAGGTGAACACTTTTATGAAGGGAAAACTATCAAAACAAAAACAACAAAAATACTAACTACTAACTAGTACTAATCTTCTTTATTTCTAGCATTGAACGATTGGCATTTTGTACGTACTATTATACATATTCTGAATTATATTTTCAAATAAAAATGTTATATACAATAATACAGTTTTATATAATTTAATTTTTATATTCATTAGTAAACGTATATAACTATATTTGCATTGCAGTATTTTACAAAACTTGATCTTGAAAAACTATAAATTTAATAAAAATTAAAAAAGGTAATTTTTTTCAGTTAGTGAATTTTATCAGGTAACCATAAAAGTTCGTATGGGTTTAAAGGTTTAATAATTGTCACGATTAAAATTAGTTTAGAAATATTTTATTCTGGGAAATAGTCTCCATCGGCATCTGCATTATGCCATTCCTGTAAAAGTTTGGAAAGAGGCTCAAAAAATAAATTCAACTGTTTTCCAGCTGTTGGCGACTATTGAACTCCTGCGTGTTATTGTCCATCCAGGTTTGGAGTGTACGGAGGGTGTGGTAGGACTTCTCAGTAAGAATAAGATTATCGTCTCCGTTGTCTGGTTGTATGTCTCGTGATGTCCTGGTGAAAGATTACACCTTGTACACAAGAGCATGTTGTTTCTGGGCAAGGTCAATAGATCCTAGATGTTGGTTTGCGTAGATTTCTGCACTGATGGTGGCAGGAATTCATAGGGCTCATTTACTGTCGAATTCCACCAAACACAAACCATAGAAGGTGAGTACATAGATTCACTTTTTGTTGGTAATATTTGCTTTTCGCAATGACGGGTGATTTGGTGACACCCTGGTGTACTCCGGTCAAAAATACATCTCTACATTGTGCCGTAAAAACAATGAAAAGCAAATGTTTAAATGCTGACGCTTGTTACTGTCGGTCAATTTGTGAAAACCCGTTTGCTGAACTTCTTCATTTTCCCAAGTCGATGTAAGCTAGAATGAATGGTTTCATCACTTACACTGGTAAGATCTGGATTTGTTTGACTAGAAATAGGTTCGATAGCTTCCATAAATTTGTTGTTATTAAAGACAGAAGGCCTACCAGACCGTGGTTCATCTTCAATCCCCTCATTCTCAGAAACAAACTTTTTGAACCACTGGCAGTGCACTCACCGAATCCAGTGCAATTCTGCAAGCCACATCGGCCACTCTAGTACTGACAGTGAGCTAAAATTCACACAATAAGAATGCATGAACTCATAGGTTTTGCCATGAGAAAGAAAATATTCAATAATTTACAGTGAACTGTTCAAGGCACTTTTTCTGTATGAACAAACTATGTGATGTTAATATATTATGTAAATAGAAATGTTGATTAACATTATTAAAATAATAACAAATGAAAAACCGCACGAGCTATTTTGGTTACCTTGTAATTTGTTGTTTTAATATGATTTGTGGGCTGTTATTGACAGTAATAGAGTTTATTCTAATTTATTAGTGGACGAACAAGAAGAAATGTCAACGGAAGAAGAGCCTTCGAGTGTAACCTTTAAAAAGATAAGATCCAAGAAGTCCAACTTTAGGAAAAAGGATGATATTGACTCAGATGAAGAAACTAATGTTTTGTAAGTTTTTTTATTGCATTATGATAGTAAACAATGTCACTAAAGTCAAGTATTGTGCTTCCATCTTGAGTTCTGTGAGGTGTTGAACTTGGCCATTTCTGACCATTTTAGTTATTATGGTTGTAACATATGATAAAGAGAAGTAAGGTCATAGAAGACAAAAAAAGTTTGGTTATTTCTTTTTTTGTGGGGGTAGTATAGTGTGGCCAGCTCAAGACGCAGGACCTCATAAGAAAGCTGGGCGATGACACGGAGGGTCTAAAACTCTTTTGGTAAGTAGAGGACAGGTAGCAAAGAGAACTGCAAGAAGTGCTCGAGAGGAGAGGGGCCGACCGGCGAAGAGCGGTTATGACAGGACGAGAGACAATACGAATGCGAGAAAAGAAAAGTCGGTTGCTGGAATTTTTTTGTGGTTTTCGTAAGATTGTGGAACTACAGGGGACTGCGAAGGAATCTTCAAGGGGCTCAAGAGGATCTTCAAGAAACCACACAATTTTTTTTTTGGTTGCTCGTGTGAGTTGGCCAACAGAGAATTGCTGTTAAGTTTTGGACAAGTTGGAACTTCTTCTCTTTTACTTTTCTTTAAGAGAAATTAGGAGTTCCTCACTAATGATGTCACTGAAATGCATTTGAGTAGTTCAACAAACTCGCGAGTGAAGACAGACCCGATAGTGACCCAATGCCAGTACTGCATTTATACAAGTTGCTGTCTTTCTAAATTTGATTTAAGCTTTTATATTTTGACCTTTTATGTCTTAGGGTCAGTATTCCCTGGAAAAATTGTGTGACACCAAATTTATGTATATTTCTGTCAGATGAATTTTGACTTTTTGCTGATCAGTGGTGGGTTGTAAGAAAATGAACAGAAATGGTCCAGCTATATAAACCAACCTTTCAACAAATGAATTTTAATAGCATCAATTGACTAAAAAGTATTTTATTTTTTATTGTACTGTTGTTTGATGTTGGAATTTAAAGCTTTTAGTATAACAACTAGTATAAAGAATAAACTCTTTAGTCTTATTTTGTAGTGACAAAAATAAATCATTTTTAACTAATATTCATTTTGATTTACTAGAAATAAAATTGAAGAAATGAAAACAATTCAGAAAATGAGGGAACGTCCAAATGGTGTCAGTGTTGTCACATTAGCCCTTGGTGAAAAAATATCCAAAACTGAAGAGATCCTAGTAGTGAGCACATTGTTTTATTATTCAACAATAATATTAAAGGAACTCTTACATTAATTTTCATTTTAATTTTTCAGTCTGATCCGTTCAAAGTAAAAACCGGTGGTTTGATAAACATGGCGAATTTAAAAAAAGGAAAAGTCAGTAATGAGGATGATGCATACAACACTGGAATTGGTACCCAGTTTTCTGCGGAGACGAACAAAAGGGATGAAGATGATGAAATGTAATATTCATTTTTGTAAGCTTTATTAATGTGCTTTTGTTAATTTTTGTGAACTTTTGTAGGATGAAGTATATCGAAGTCGAGCTTTCTAAGAGGAAAGGGAAAACGAAAAACGAAACAGAAGTTAAGAAGTACTGTCCGCCCGAGGAGGCTGCTCTATTGGCTGTGCCTGATCATCTTAGAATTTCTTCCTCTCAAAGGAATGAAGAAATGTTGTCAAACCAGATGCTCAGCGGTATTCCAGAAGTCGATCTCGGCATTGAGTTAGTTGTTTAATTATTAATTGTAACTGTAAAAACTGTAAATGTTATTGATTGTAAATTTTTATTTGTTAAGAGCAAAAATCAAAAACATCGAAGCCACTGAAGAAGCAAAGCTTAAACTTCTATGGGAAAGTCAAAACCAAAAAGATGGGCCTTCTCCGTTTGTACCAACAAATATGGCTGTCAACTTCGTTCAACACAATCGATGTATGTAGTGTACTTTAAAAAATAAAGAAATTATATTCTGTATTGTACATTACACATTTTAATTATTTCCGTTGTTTCAGTTAATATCGAAGATCACAATACAAATAAGCAAGCTGACAGAAGGAACAATGCAAACCAAGAGAAACTCACTTCCCAACCTTATACCCAGAAGGGAATCAAAAGAGGAAAGGGTGCAGAAAAAGCTACAGATGATTATCACTTCGAGAAATTTAAAAAACAGTATAGGAAATATGTTTAAATTGATGTCATGTACCTACAAAATTTTTATGAATGAATTAAATTAATGTAAAGAATTTTTTTTATAAAGACTAAAAAAAATAGTTGATATTTTTTTAATAATATTTTTTTCAGTGTTATTTGGGATGCAAGTGCAAGCCTGACTAGCCAATACGTTATTTAAGTTGATTTTTACATCTGTAAAATAAAAATACTAAAAAAGTGGTAAGAACAGTGAGCCTCCTAAATGCTAAATAAATAATAACTGAGAAAAGAACTGCACTTTTTATTTCACTCTTCATATTTTTACATTATCAATACGTAGGGAATAACGAGGCCATTGGTGTTTTCTATAGTGGACTGAGATAACGGACAAAGTCATTGGTGTTAAGAGATTGATAGATTTTTTTGTGACTGTCTTTAAGTTACCTTACCGGTGGCAGCATGGTCATCTAAGGCCATTCTAGTTACGCAGAATGCTGACAGGGTGAATGCCGTAAAATACTAGCGCATAAAGTCATTGACTTTATGGCCATAATTCAATTCTATAATTGTTTGTTTCTCTACCCACGCTATCTCTAGATAATTTGCCACTTCTGCAAAAACAGTGTAAGGTTAGGTTTGATACATAAAAAGAAGGGTTAACAATTTTCATTAGGCCTTTCAATGGGAATCTTTGTATTGGGAGTTAAAATGCCTGGTTGACCTGCAGTTTGGTAACATAAGTGCATAGGAATGAGAATTGTTTAACCCTTTAGTTTAGTAGAAGTTCGCATAGATAGATTGATAAGACCAGTCTCTTTACAACCTGTGCACCACGACTAGTATTGGTCTGTTGTGCATCTCCTTTATTTTATCTAGAGCTGGCTTTTCCTCTCTGAGGGTTAGGAATCTCAGCTTACATAGGCCTTCGCACAGAGGACGTGTTCCACTTTTTGGCAATATCTGCACAGGCTTGTTTCTGCCACTCCAAGTCTATACACATGCCTCTAGAGTATGCAGTGTCCAGTTAGCAGTCAACTATTATTCGTCCTAGCACGTCATTTAGTAGTTCTGCCATTAGTTTCTGAGATAGTCCTTCGACTTTTTCGCATCCCTCTTTCCCGGGCTACATTCCCATTGAGCAGAGTTTGACAGCACAAAAGGGTTCAGGGCCAATAGGTGTCCACTGAACTTCCCTTGGCTAATTTATTGACCTCATCGCTGCCCATCTGCCCTGGCACCCAGACAAGGGTAATTTAATTAACCCCAATGTCTGACAGGCCGCTAATGCAGTCCCAAACAACTCTGGACTTTACCATCAATGCGGCAATTCCTTCAGGCTACCTGGCTGTCAGAAGTTCGGATTGACTGTCAAGTAGTGCTGATAATAGTTTATAACGTGTTTTCATTTGCCCAGGTGAAGTCCCAAGTGTACTTGTTCAACAGAGGGTAGAAATTATATTCAAGTAAATGGGTGGTAGTATAATCTGAATAAGTGTGAATGGTTTTGAAGGTTTTTGAGTGTGACAAGATCATCATGGATAGGCAAGTGTCCAAGAATGTTCCCTTGTGGGATGCCAACTTGGATAGGATAGATATTGGATTACTCTGAAGTAATGGTTAGACAGGTGCAATTTTAAGAATAGGTAGTAGGTTGTGGGTCGCCCTAGCATCTTGCAGCTTGCACGACAACCTTCGTTCAATACTGCTTCTGTTCAATGGAGGATGAGATGTCCACATCTCGATGACATTGATGAATTGTACAGTGTTTTATTGAGGAGTCTGTTGCTTACCAGAGTCTAGATTGTGATTTCTTAGCAGTCAGGTACAATTGAGTAGCGGTTTAGTGCTAATTTCAAGGAAAACAATTATTCATGTTTTATTTTATTTTGAGAGGCAGGTGTTTATGCAATAAACTATGAAAGTTGAATGCTCTTGGAGAGATAGCACTATTTGAAATTGTAAAGTGTAATGGTGTTTAAAACGGGGACTTAAAGTAAACCCCTCAAAAACCACCTTAATTGCTTTCACCAAGAAAAGAAATATAGAAATACAAGGATTACGTTTCTATAACAAAATGCTGCTATTAAAAAATGAGGTCAAATATCTAGGAATAATCTTTGATAAGAAATTAACCTGGAATCCTCACTTGCAACATACTATAGCAAAAAGTAAAATATCGATAATGACCACAAGGACCTTGGGAAAATCTTGGGGACTAAAACCGAAAATGGCCTATTGGCACGGCAGTAATAAGACCCAGAATAACCTATGGATCACTAATCTGGTGGAACAAAGCTCAACAAAAAGTAGCTACCCAAACATTAGGCAGCATACAAAGACTAGCAAACCTATGTATCACAGGGGCGATGAGAACAACCCCTACAAATGCATTAGAAACTCTGCTAAACCTATCTCCATTTGAAATATTCATACAAGGAGAGGCTAGGAAAAGCTCTCTTAGGCTCCAGAAACAATTAAATTGGAAAGGAACTAAACAATTCGGGCATACAACCATAATCAACAAAATGAGACACCCATTATTAGAAATGGGGACTGATTATATGATCCCGGAAACAATCTTCACAACTTCCTATAAAGTCTCAATGGACTATAAAGGAGAGGAAGAACACAGGAGAGCATCAGATGCAATGATATGGTACACAGATGGCTCCAAAACAAACGAAGGAACCGGATCAGTCGTTTTCTGTACAAGCTCAAAACATGAGCAATCATTATGGAAGTACACTTCGGTCTTTCAAGCAGAAATACATGCCATCAACGCTTCTGCCCTGGAAAATCTTAAGAGGTTACACTGACAAAAAAATCCTCATAAAATCTGATAAGGTCTTGCAGATTATGTTATGTGACCAGGAACCCAAGATATCATCAGGTTGTTGTTTCCCCAGGTTTTGGAGATTTTGGATACATTCACTGACTAATTTTGATGCGATTCTTTTACATGCTAATGCTTATGTGTGTAATATTTTTGGATTGTAGAAGTCGAAATTGTGTTTGTGTTCAAAATGGTGGGTAGCGAGTGCTGTAGGATTTTGCTTGGGTTTTTTTGCAATCGTAGATATGTTGCTTTACTCTCTTGTCCAGATATTGGGATGTAAGACCGATGTAAGTTGCTGGACAGTTTAAACAGTTGATTTTGTAGAAATCTGACAATCTACAAAATCAACTGTTTAAACTGTCCGGCAACTTACATCGGTCTTCATCCCAACATCTGGACAAGAGAGTAAAGCAACATTCTATGATTGCAAAAAACCCAAGCAAAATCCTACAGCACTCGCTACCCTCCATTTTGAACACAAACACAATTTCGACTTCAAAAATCCAAAAATATTACACACAGAACAAAACAAACATAAACGTAACTTTTTAGAAATGATTTACATCAACAGAGATAAGCACAGCATCAATTACAGAACAGATACATGTAAACTCAGTCGCAGCTACGCCAATATCATTAATCAAATTCAATATAGATAACATACATATATCATTACATTACATTCCACACATCAAATATTTTTCATAGTATAATTGTCCAAAAATTTAGCTTTCCTTTTCCTATTTATCCCTTTCTATATAATCCTGAAAGGATAATCTTGCCAAACCATTACCAACGTTTTTGCCCCTCGTCGGCTCTTTTCACCTCAAAGAAGCCGACACCTTATACAAAAATCCCTTTTTTCTGTACCAACTTCCTTCCCCACCCCTTCAAAATCCAACGTATATAAACATAAAACAGCAAAATCTCACTGGCACTCTCAACACGACACGCAAGAATGGCACAATTACACAGAAGACAAACACTTTGAGTAAGTAGAAATACTTTGATTGAATATAAAAAAATATATTTTTCATTGTATAAATTCATTTTTTTCCACATCCTACATGTATTTGTTAAATGTAAACAATGTTTGTAAATCCCAGGCCCTGATGATGATCTCAATAAAGATCAAAACGTTGGCACGATAAAGAAAACGTTTTTCTGAAACCTACATCACACAGACCGCATCTCACGATTTCTGAATAATTTTAGAAGAATATAAAGTCAAAACTTCACTGCCTTTGTCATTATTATTATTATTATTAATATAAAAATTCTTATTTTTTTTGCAATATAGTACATACTTGATACTAGAATTATCAAAAAAGAATGTTGCATTTTTGATGTCCTCAAGGTGTGTTCTATGTTTCACAATTATTCTCAATTTTATTTATTTTTTTAACTAGGGTGCAGGATGATATTTTAATCTATGAAGAGTTTATTTTAAAAAATAATACAAGTTTAGGTTTCTTTAAATTTACATTACAAAATAACAAAAAAGTTGTTAAGGGTAGAATAATTTATGATACATTATTTATATATTTCAATTTTACATTCCAAAAAAAATTGGTTTTACACTCGTACATTTGATTTTCATTCTAATTTTTAAGTACATATATAACAAAAGTAACTTATTGCCACCGGATGTCTGTCTTTCCTCTTGTCCTGAAAATATTTTTTTCTCCCTTAATACAAATATGAAAAATGTAATTAGGTGTACAAAAATTTAATGGCAATTTAAATTATACCTGTTCATGAATCCAGCTATCATGAATGACTTAATGTGATACCTCTTTAAGTAGCCAACTGCCTTGCCCATCAAACTCAAGAATTTCATCATGGAATTTCCTGAAATGATAATTTTAAAAAAGCATTAAAATGTGAAAGTGTGTAAGGCGAAATTGGTTTTGGAACTAATATTTTAGATAAAATTAGAAAAGACATTATACACACCAAAGTGAAGGCCTATGCGTAATTGTCAACAGAGTTATTCCGAGGGATTTTGCATCTTCATACATTTTGCTTTCAACATCCATACTCACAGCGCTAGTACATTCGTCAAGAAGTGCAAAAGATGGCCTGAAATAATACAAGTAACATAATAAAAATTCTAGAACGAACATTAAAAATATTTCAATTGATTATTCTTTTTATGTAAGGTCTTGGTGAAAAGAATAGTTAATTGAAATAAGTAATTTGGTCAATTAGACCAAAACATAAATGGATTACAAATATTGTTTAATATTGAACACAACATAGTTTCCGACTCACTAACTTTGCCTTTGAAATTTTCCAAATGCATTATTTTTATTACACAAATCATAACTGTACTATGTGATAATCCAAGGACACAAAAAAAGTAAATTAGCTTAATCCAGTGCTGGTACAATAAGATGATCATTTCTTACCTTCCTCTTTAATAAAAAAAAACTATTAATACTAATTTTTATATGAATCAAGTCATTTATAAGCACTTTATAAGAAAAGTAGCTGAACTTGTTATTACTCGTTAGTCAAAAGTCGGTTATTAAATTAACAAAATAATGCAATGATATTTTTAGAAGAATATGAATATCTAATAAATTCATCCTAATGAATAATTAAATTGCTGTAGGTGCCGGAGAACCTGATTTGTGGAAGAAGGGCCATCCTCACTCGATTAAAAATAGGCCATGTGAGGTTGACACAAGGACACATACTTTTGGGCCAGAGCCCATGTTTGTGTCTGGCATTTAATGAAAGGTTGCTCGATGTGTCCACCTAATTTGAAGGGTGCAACTTCTTAGAGCCATATAGAGAGCGTGGAATGCTACCTGTTATGAGAATCGTTCTAGAGAACTGCTGGGTTTCCTTTTACCATTCTTGGAGGAAACAGTGTTGTTTTATTGTATAGATATCTCGTTTTGGTCCATTAGTGTGTGTTGAGAGTGAATGTATTTATTGGCATGAATGTACTGTGAGGGGGCCGATGGTAGAATATTGAGTACCCATCAACCCTCAATTAAATTATTTTGATACGTGTGGTGGGTAATGTGGAAATATCAAGTACTCCATTGCCCTGAGAGAATGAAATTTAATAAAGAAGAATGTTTTTAATAGTGAATGGGTTTGGGTTTAGGGAACTATTGTGCTGGGTGCTGAAATGGCTTTTGATAACCCCTGGAGCCCAAGCTTGACGGCCAGTCAGAGAAAACTTCAGCCACTGCTAACACTTAGGCTGGGTGATTCTTAAGGCCTGCCGGTAATTCGAAATAAATCACAAAAGCTGGAATTGCCGGTGTACTGTGAGAAATGATTGTACAAATTTGAGCTTACATAAATCAGTAATCAGTACATTTATATTATGTCCTATTTTGATGATTATGACTTTTCCCTTCCGATGTTTTTTCTCTCACTTTCTAGAGAATTAAATGGAAAGTACTATAAATTGGATCTGTCAACAGTAAAATTGATGTATAAGATTGTGTAAAAGGTGAGTAATTGGGTCAGAATGTCAAAAATATCCTCAGCAGCCGAAACATGTTCTTACCAGTTATATAACAACATTTAAGTTATTAGGTCAAGCTTTCTCTTATATAAATTAAATAAAAATAAATGTACTAAGGAAAAGATATATACTTGTGGTAAAACAGCCTGGCAATTGCAATTCTTTGTTTTTCCCCTCCAGAAAGAATATCCTTCCAATCGGCCTCAGCAGACCATCCACCTTCTCTTGTCACAAGACTGTTTAAAGCGACATGACTGAGACATTCCTCCAAATCTTTATCGCTAATTCCTTTTTTCCTCATATCTTCTACGGTATCAGGATAAATGATTTGCTCCCTGAGACTACCGATCGACATGTACGGCCTGAAATTTTTTTTTTAGATATGAATACAAAATGACACATTAACAATAATTTATAAACAAACCTTTGTGGGATGTAAAACATATTTGAATTTGGAGGAATGTAAAGAGTTCCATCATACAGCGGCCACAAGCCACAAATGACTCTGAACATGGAAGATTTCCCACAGCCATTGGGGCCAGTTATTAAAAGATGACGGCCTGGCTTTATGTGTATGCTCAAATTCGGAATAACAACATCTCCTTAAATAGCCAAAATACAATGGATTAATCTCTCTCTCACACTCCCCCTCTCTCTCTCTCACTCACTCACTCACACACACACACACACACACACACACACACACACACGCACGCACGAACACACTCACACACAGGAAAAGAAAACTTACCAGTAGGAGTAACAATTGGCACATCACACAATTTAATACTTCCATCTGTACTATGTCTGATGGATCCTAAATGTACAAAAATAATAAACAAATTACTCAATTTGAATTTAATGATATTTTTGTTTAAAATTAAATTTATTTTATCGGATTTATCTCCGTAAGACAAATATTAGTGTGTTTATATTTATTTACAAGTCAAATCTTATTAAAGTAGCTAATAAATAATTAGAATTAAAAAACGAATCAAGAGTGATTTCCAATTCATACTGTTTATAAATAAATTGCTGACATGTTTTGATTTTGTGTTCTAATTTGTATTAAATTGTAATTGCAGTCATTTTATGGTGTGAAACCCACCTCTGATATCTCGGTATTTGTTGAAAGAAGTTGTAATGGCTGATCTCTGGTACACTCCCTCCGAGACATCCTTGAAGACTTTCAGCACTGCGCCGACTCGAGACGTGTAGCCAGCTAATTCGACAATTTCTTTATAAGAAGACAACAATCTTTCAACAGCATCAGCTCCAGAGATAAGGAGATTTCTTGCAGTTGTAAAATACTGAGTTCGGTCGCTTACATTTCTAGCAATCCCTTTAAATACATAATATGTAATAATAAAATATTGTTTCAATTTCATAAAATGGATAGGATATAAACAATTACCTGTATCATTGGAAGCCATGAGAATCGGTATAGATACCATAATCATACCTGTGCCACTCCACACATATTTCATTAGGAACTGTTCAAGGACCACATACCAAAGTCTTTGGCACAAAATTTTATTCTTATGATCCACTAAACATCTATAAGCTGCTTTCAAATGATTTAATTCTACCTGAAATATTTAAATAGGAACTTTTTTGTGCTTAAAAGCGTATTTATAATCAAATCACAATTTTGTTGAGTATATTACTATTTACTAAGCAAAATTATTTGTTATTTTAAAAGAAGAGTACTTCAAATGATGACCGTTATTTTTAATCATGTAAATATGATAACAAATTGCTATAGTTGAACACACTCTTGGACTTTTATCATTTGCACAAAAGAATTTATCAATTCTAATTCATCATCTAATTATGAAACCACATTAGTCATGATATTTGTATGTTTGAGAATCATGTTGTTAAATATGATAAAATGTTTAACTTCATTGATTTTCTGACCTTACTGCCACCATAGAAAGCTATTTCCTCAGCATTAGTTATCAATCTTGAATGTACACTCCGTAGGTACGCAGATCTTTCTGCTTCTATGGCAACCAGAGCGCCAAATTTGGGTGAAAGACATCTTAACACTTGTCCAGTTAAGGAAATCACAATTACAGCCAAAAGTGGACCTGAAATCCATCATTATTGTGTCAGTTTAACAGTTCAAATTTATTAATAAATTTAATCACACCTGGAATAACAGCAGCTCCCATTTGACGACTGGACCTTGCTAATGCTAAACCAATTAGGGCACAGTCAAACAGTGGCTTTGTTAAATGAGAATAGAGATGGGCCAAAGAAGCGGTAAAAGCTTTTATGTCTTCTGTGAGAAGGTGATCTGCGTTTTCTATCCTAGAGTCTAGATTGCTTACCCTGTAATAAGTTTGATTCTTCATGTACAGATGATAAGCATGGTTTACAAGTCGGGATCTGTAAAATAAAAAAAGAGAAAAAAATCATTCATTTGTGCAATGGCTACATTACTTAAATATAATTAAATAATTATATATAAATAAATAAATAATTAAAATAGTATCATAGAAAACGACCCTTGTTTGAAGCTAGTTAAATAATTATATACAAAGAAAGTTTCAAGTTTAATAACACATTAATTTAGAACTCGCAGACAGGGTAATATTCACATCAGTATAGAAAGCATAGTGATATAATAACTATTTATTATTATTTTATAAATTAAAATGATAATTTTAATAGGATTCTTGTACACAAACTCAATGGAATCAGATAAAGAGTGTAGTAAATGAGCCCAGTGAAAATAATATATCAAATAGAGGCTTACTAGCTTACTGTTAAGAATGGAACAAGCCACAGTACAATTATAATACTTGAATTCTAAAATCAACACAGTTATAAATATTCTAAGAAATATAATGTAGCTTTATCTCTCTCCTACAAACCACCTCGCCTCTGCACTAGTGGTAAAGACGGAGGACTAGGCATTCCTGGTGCATGCGGTTCCTGTAGTGCATCTGTGGGTGGGCTCTACCTATCTCTATCCTAAGTACGGCCACTAACCATGGTGTGGAGTGGCCCACCAACTATAGGGGACTGCATGTGTTAGCTAGCAAACTGATTATACTGGAGGGAGCTGAAGAATTAGGCGGTCTTGGGGGATGGGTCATGTGGTGAAGATCTTCACCAATGACGCAGTAGCCAATCGATGGCTCCAGGACGGGTCTCTGATTCGTCAGGAATTAGACATATCGATGTCCTCTGCTTAGGACCAATTCGATTGTTTCGAAGGAGGTAATGGGGAGGGCGGACTCAAATTTGACAGCCGATTGTAGGAGATGTGGGCCTGGCACAGAGACATTCTCTCACAACCTTTCCAAGTGCTCAGAGAATCACTTGAAGATTTTAAGGAGTGACTCGGAATACCAGGTCACTGACCAAACTCCCCACTGGATGGGGCATGTCTAAAGCCACATATCAATGCCGCTAGCAAGGATGGAGTATTCATACTAAATCTCGCACCTCTAAGTGGTGTATGAGACCATGGCACATTGGATGTGTGACTGACTTTAAAGTGTAAAAATATATGGTATTGATGCCCTTCAGTGAGCTACATCACAAAAATTTTGTTAAAGCAGTGGTGCAGTAGTGGAGGAAGCATACATGAACATATTAAGATGAAGTCTTTTCAGAGGATCTTCGGAAGAGGTCAAAATGTTTTGACCTCTTCCGAAGATCCTCTGAAAAGACTTCTTGTATCCAGCAGGTCGATAATCTAGTTCATCGTTATATTAAGATGACACTTAGGGAACTCTCAGGATCAATCAGCACCTGATAATGCTCACCACCCTATCTCTAATGCACTGAGGTCCTCACTCTCCAAGAATCATGCAGAGAGCTTTTTAGCCACTAGTTCAACAAATCCACCTGTTGAACAAAATACCTAAAGTGATGGACGTTTGTTTCTCATAATGGCTTGGAATCATAGTGTAGAGAGGGGGGTAGCATCTCTTGGTAGAAAGAATGTAAAGAGGAAATGATGATTTTAGGTGTTAACAACAAACTCATTTTTAAAAGATTTTCTAGTGCTCCATTAAAAGCTGGTTCTAGAGCACTTATCTCACTACTTGTGGTCCAAACGAATAAGTCTAATAAAGCAAGGTCTTTATACCAAGGACACTTTGAATTGAGCCTATAATACCATCTATCATCAGTTTAAATAGAACGGAACTGAGTACGGATCCTTGAGGTGGCCTCTGCCATGTCTGCTTGTAAGACGAGGTGATCTCCGTACTTTACCATAATAAATCTTTGTGAGGGGAAGGAAGGGATAGCCTTAAACGTATATCTTTCAAGCCAAAAGCTAAAATTTTATTTAGTAGTTTTTCCTCCAAACTCAGGATGGTTTTTCTAGTTTTTCTCCTCCATACTCTATCAAAGGCAGTCATGAAGTCTATGAAGACCGCTGGAGTGCTTTGTTTCCTATGCAGACCATTTTTAATTTCTTCTCATTAAGATGATGGGACACGAAATGGATCTATGGTACAGGAGAGTTTGGGTGGGTGACTTGCACCAAAGCATGTGAATATATTGGCAAATGTCGGAAAGAGATTTTATTTAAGTTAAAATCAGAAAAAAAAAGATAGGGTCTTTTTAAATATTAACATAAATTTAGATCTTATAATGGGGTGAGTCATCCACTTGTTGACAGATATAGCAAAAATAAGGAGGATAAAATTATTGTATATGATTAAAGGTAGTTTCGTGTCTTCACAGATCTCCCAACAGTGTTTCACGTTTTAATACAACGTTTTAAATATTCTGTTTCAACCAGAATATTTTAAAAAATAATATGAAACGTTCCTTAGTTAAAAGAATAATAAATAAACTAAAATCAATCATTCATGGCTATTGCAAAAGTTCAATTTCAATATGAACAAGTTTTATGTGCAGCAACATAACAGTATAAAGATAATTTGACAAGTGGGAAGCAGATACCATCAATTACAGTTACACCGTTTTTCGTAACATGCTGTCTCTCCGCCTGGTAGGGTTGGGCAACAGAAATCAAGTGGCTAGGATGTGGAAAGTATAATTACGACCGCTTTTATTTCCTCAAAATCATGACCTTTTTCCACCTCGGCGAGTAAAGAATTTTGGATCAGAAATAGTACGACATACTGACAATTACCGGTTGCACAAATACGCCGCACGAAACTTGAGTTCGAGATTTATTTCACCACCAGCTTTCTGGCCCGCGGCATGGCATGAAAAAAGTGTTATTGTAGTTCATATATTCAAAATTATTTACGATGGTGATCGAATTGTTTATTTAAAAATGTATGTAATAGAACCGCATTCCAGCAAGGCATTTTTTATTTTTTTTTTAAGATTACGAGTAATACAAAGATTTGTAGTAGTCGTTTGGCCAGGGTCTTAAAGGTCATAAACAGAGGAAAATGCAATAAAACGCCGTAGTCTATGCATTGCCATGAATAATAAAGTAACAACAATAACAACAAAAAACCGAAAATATTTTCGTACTGAAAAGCTGCTAAAAAAAGTTCAATTCATTCCATGAAAAAGGTGGCTTAGGGTTAATTCAGTTTCCTACATAGGCACAGTATGCACTTCGTGGAAAGTAACTGGTGGATTAGATAACTTATCGAATCGCCTATGGTTTCTCTATCCTATAAAGTGCCCACAAAGTGCCACTCAGTCAAAAGCGTCTGTTGTGTTCTTTTTCTTCTTTCTTCTTTTGAATAAGACAAACATCAAACTCGATCACCAAGTCTAGAAAAAATGCCTCATATCGACAAAGGATCGCATTTCGCGGCCGTATAATAATTTTTAAAAAAATCTGCAGGCTAGTTGCGTCAAGTGTGAGAAATTAGAGAGATGCGATTAAGAAATTTCTAAATGTGTTTAAATGTTTAAAAAATGGTAGTTAAGGTGGGACTGGAACAGCATCGAGAAAGTCACTCTTGAGAAAGCAAGAGATATTTTGTTATGGTATTACAAAACAGTTCTAGTCACATTCTGGTCCAGTGGCCAAAGGCGAACTTATCTCCACTTCTCGGATTGTCTTGAAACAATCATAATATGTAGAAATAATTAAGAAAATTGCCAAATGTAGAAACCCTTCCTATTTTTCAATATTTACAGAATATTAGGTTTATTTCAGTCGAAAGAATACTGACGAATACGAAGCGCGAACTTTTGAACATTGAAATTCGATATGATTATCCAATATTTTCAAACCCAATCGTGTTGTGTTCCAAGCCGAAAATATGTCATCGAGAAAACCAATTGGGAAGTGACGATTTTTTCAAGATTAGGTTTACCTTTTTGGTGGATCATATTGAACATCGAATAAATAATATTAGCCCATACATTTTTACCGTAATTACCTATTAATTATTCTTTTTATCTAAAATCTTGGCGGAGATAAAAAAGTCAGTGTCACGAGCGGGATTCGAACCCACGATCTTTGGTTAAGTACGCAGCTGTTCTAACCACTTGAGCTATCGCGATTTCGATCCACTAGCCGAAGGTCGTGGGTTCGAATCCCGCTCGTGACACTAACTTTTTCATCTCAACCAAGACCTTAGATGAAAAGAATAATTAATTGAATAAATAATGATTAGTATTGACGTTGATGCCTACTCGAAAAAAAACAACTACTAATTGACAAAGATAGAATATCAATGAAACTTTTAGTTCCAACTGGTTTTAACTTTATTTACTTGCGAAGCTTTTCTCTAGCTTTGTATCCAATACAAAATAATTTTAGAATGACAAATACATAAATTTTGAAATATCTGTGAATTAATTTTTACCTAATCAAATAATTTACATCCAGGAAAGGAAATATGGGAAAACGGACGCGTTCAAACCAACAATGAGACCGGTGTCAGGAGGCTGACACTTGTTTATAATAACAGAAAATTGTGTATCCTCATGTTAGCTGATTTATATATTTTTTATTTTCACCAGACGTAATTAATTCATTCAATTCATTAGATTTAAATTATAACATTAGGTAAACATTAGTACACAGATTTTTCAAAATTTATACATTTGTCACCCTAAAATTAAAATAAGGCTGAAGATGCTTATGTAAGTGAAAAGTTTCCCAAATAAAATAAAGTTAAAACCAGTTGGAACTAAAGACTTCATTGATATTCTACCTTTTTGACAATTAGGAAGTTTTTTTTATACGTCAAAACTAAACGTTATTTATTTATTATTTATTCATTTATTCATTATTATTTATTCGACGTTCAATATCACTTTTTGGGGAGGAAAAAATCGGCATTCCATTGATTCGAGAATTCGCGCAAAGGTGTTACCTAATAGTTGTGTAAGACACTATTACAGCCGCTGTATCATCGTTGACCGTATACTGAGGAGAATCTGATTTTCCACGTTTCGACCATTTTCCATGTACGCGGCCC